TGGTCCGTCCACAAATTCTTTTTCGATGTGTCCGTCTTCAAGGGGTTGTCACGATGTCGAGTGTTATTTCTCCCTCGAGGTGGATCGCCCCGTTTTATTTAATATTATATTATATTAATATTTTCGAGTTACCGTTTGACGTTTATTTTTGCGACGAGAATATTTATATTAACCGATATATATGTGAATATATTCGACGACGTTTTATTCGAAACCGATAATTATTTTATTCGGTCCGGTATTTATTTTGAGGGACCGGTAATTATTTTTGTTCGGTCCGATTTTTATTCTGTTCGGTTCGGTAAAATATTATTCAGACCGATATTTAATTATTTGGAGTCATTTTAATTATTTTGGGTTAGTAAGACTAGTGGAGGGTAGTATGGTAATTTTCCTGTTGTCTTAAGACCAAAATCCAAACAAATGCATTAGTTGTTGTTTTATGAGAGATAGAGGTATCATAACACAAAAACACACATAGAGAAAACTAGAGAGAGAGAGCAAGAGAAAGAGGTCTTAGAAGAGAAGAGGAAACAAGAACACAAGAGCTAGCTTGAGTTTTGGGTTGAAAGAACAATAATCATTTCAAATATCTAAGGTAAGAGGTTTGATTTTCCAATGCTTATAGTTAGGGTTTGATTTGGTATATTTTAGATTTGGGGAAAAAATTAATGTTAGGGTTCTTGAGTTTTGTTGAAATAGAAACTAGAAGAGTTAATTAGGTGTTGTTGTTGTTGAATTAGCATTATATTAAGTATTAGTAATATGCATAATTTAAATGAAATTTAGAAATTAAAAGAACTAGCAGTTAATTGTTTAAAACTAAATATGCAGTAGTTTAGAAAAAAAACTAAATATGCAGTAGTTTAGAAAAAAAAACAAGAACTATGCATTAGTTTAGAAGAAACAAGAACTATGCAGTAGCTTAGGGAGAAAAAAAAAAGAAAAACTAGTCGTACTAATAAGATGAAGTTAGAAAACTAATAAACTAGCAGTAGAACTTATAAATAGTATAACTTATAAACTAAGATAGCAGTAGAGTTAAGTTAATATAAAACAAATAGATACAGTATGGAATTAACGCAAATGGCAGTATTCCATTGAATGAAGTTTTAGTTTAGTAGCAGTAAAGTAACAGTATGCAATTGAATTGAAGTTTTAGAAACTAAAGTAAAATAGCAGTAAGTTTAGAAATTATTTAATTTATGTTTTGTTTTTTATTTTATTAATTTAATATAATTAATATTTATATTAATTAAATATAAATATGACATAAGTTATCCGATTTAATTTGGAACTCGATTATGTTCGATTTCCCGATTTCGGCAATTTTCGGCGACGGAGCAAGTTGCTCCGAATTTAACGAAAATTGACGTGCTAGCTAATTTTGACGCGTAGAACATCGTGGTGAGGTTAGTTTTTTGAGATTATGAATTTTTAACGGAGCGACCCGAAATAAGTCAATTTACGGTTAAGTTGAACCGGGTTGCGTTTTAGTCGGTTTAAGTCGCGTATGGACAATCTGATTGCAACGTTAATGTTTATAATTGATGTTGATTATTGTGAATGAATTTTGCAACGATTATTGATGTTTGACTATTTTTCCGTGTTTGAAATTAGTGAATTATTTGATAATGATGTGGTGTGATTAAATATGATGTTTACGACGGTTTTATTTATAATGAATACTTGATGATATGCGATGCGATGATATGTTTTATCTCGATGTGGATGAATATGGCGACATGGGTTTTATACCAACTTTGATGTGCGATGATGATGTTTTGTTGTGTCGTGTTGTGATGTCGTGTTGTCGAGTCACATATATTGCATTGGCGACGGGGGCTTTTATGCCAAGCGACGAGGGCTTTTATGCCAAAGTGACGATGGGCTTTTATGCCGAATGTCCCTAATTATGGACAAAGCGACGGTGTACCACATGCATAACATAGTCGTGTCTCATGGAGTCGGTTATGTTTATTTTTGAGTCTTTTGGCGTTGAGTTTTATTTGATGACTTATAATGAATTGCGATGTTATATGATACCTTATTTTGTGACGATTTTTGTGTTGAACATAAAGTGATTATGATGTGATAATTTCATGGAAATTATACGATGGATATAACATGACGGTAAAGCGACGATATGAGTTCATGACGATGGAGTTTATGTCTTGTTTTGACATGATTATGGTGATTATGTGATGATATTAAAGTGTTGATCTTATACACTAAATGATGATTTTAAAGTTTGTGATATTTGATATTTGTTGACATATTCTTATTAACCTATATCATTTATGATTCCAAAACTATTTATATATTTTATCATGCCTTTAATTATATGTTTTGGAGTATCTCACCCTTTACTTGT